TCAACTAACATTACTTAGTGTGTTACAGCACTATTTCGATGCATTGGTGCAGCCTTCAGTACCTTCGAATCCGCTTCGAAGATTTCGGGAACCGCTATCAAAGGAATCGTCATGTATGCTGGCTATATGATCCCTAAACCAAAGGTCAAAAATTGGTTCCTCGAGCTCTACTACACCAACCCAATGGCTTATGCCTTCCAAGCAGCGCTGTCGAATGAGTTTCACGGTCAGGTTATTCCTTGTGTCGGAAAGAATATTGTCCCTAACGGCCCCGGATATGAGGATGTCGACTCTGCCAACAAAGCCTGTACCGGAGTAGGTGGTGCTTTGCCCGGTGCAGACTATGTGACCGGCGATCAGTATCTCTCCTCGCTCCATTACAAACATTCCCAGCTCTGGAGAAACTTCGGAGTCGTATGGGCGTGGTGGGGCTTCTTCGCCGTACTCACGATTATTTGCACCACGTATTGGAAAGCTGGTGCTGGGGGAAGTGCTTCATTGTTGATCCCCCGCGAAAACCTGAAGCAGCACCAGAAAAGCATTGACGAGGAGTCCCAGGTCAAGGAAAAGGAGCAAGCTAAAGCCGCCACTAGCGACACGACTGTGGAGGTGGATGGCAACCTTTCCCGCAATACTGCTGTCTTTACCTGGAAGAACCTCAAATACACCGTCAAAACACCTTCCGGCGACCGGGTCTTGTTGGACAATATCCACGGCTGGGTCAAGCCAGGTATGCTTGGAGCTCTTATGGGATCTTCAGGAGCGGGCAAGACAACCTTACTTGATGTTCTTGCACAGCGAAAGACGGAGGGCACCATTACTGGGTCTATCATGGTTGATGGCCGGCCGTTACCTGTGTCCTTTCAAAGAATGGCTGGATACTGCGAGCAGTTGGATGTTCACGAACCGTTCGCAACGGTTCGGGAAGCTCTAGAATTCTCTGCATTATTACGCCAACCCCGGACAACTCCTAAGGAAGAGAAGCTTAAGTATGTTGATACTATCATTGACCTGCTTGAGCTTCATGATCTGGCAGACACTCTTATCGGCACAGTCGGCAATGGTCTCAGTGTGGAACAAAGAAAACGAGTGACTATTGGTGTGGAGCTTGTATCCAAGCCAAGTATCTTGATTTTTTTGGATGAGCCTACCTCTGGATTGGATGGACAGTCTGCTTATAATACAGTGCGGTTCCTTCGCAAGTTAGCCGATGTTGGACAGGCTGTTTTAGTGACCATTCACCAACCCTCTGCCCAGTTATTTGCGCAGTTCGACACTCTTCTGCTTCTCGCACGCGGCGGCAAAACTGTGTACTTTGGCGACATCGGCGATAATGGGCAGACAATCAAACATTATTTCGGCAAATATGGCGCACAATGCCCCGTTGAGGCCAACCCAGCCGAGTTCATGATAGACGTTGTTACCGGAGGCATCGAAAGCGTTAAGGACAAAGACTGGCACCAGGTTTGGCTTGAGTCGCCTGAACATCAACAGATGATCACCGAGCTTGATCACTTGATATCCGAGGCTGCCTCGAAGCCCTCCAGTGTTAACGACGATGGATGCGAGTTCTCGATGCCGCTCTGGGAACAGACGAAGATCGTTACCCACAGAATGAACGTGGCTCTATTCCGGAATACCAACTACGTTAACAATAAATTTTCACTGCATATAATCTCCGCCTTGCTCAATGGTTTTTCGTTTTGGAGAGTCGGCCCTAGTGTGACAGCCCTGCAGTTGAAGATGTTCACTATTTTCAACTTTGTTTTCGTTGCACCAGGTGTCATCAATCAGCTCCAACCATTGTTCATCCAGAGACGTGATATCTACGACGCACGAGAGAAGAAGTCAAAGATGTATTCATGGATCTCATTCGTCATCGGTCTGATTGTATCCGAGTTCCCGTATCTTTGTGTATGCGCGGTTTTGTATTTCCTTTGCTGGTACTACTGCGTACGCCTGCCTCATGACTCCAACAAGGCAGGTGCCACCTTCTTCATCATGCTCATCTACGAGTTCATTTACACCGGTATCGGCCAGTTCATCGCAGCCTACGCGCCCAATCCTACCTTTGCTGCCCTCGTGAACCCCATGATCATCAGTGTCTTGGTGCTCTTCTGTGGTATCTTCGTTCCGTACACGCAACTCAACGTGTTCTGGAAATACTGGCTCTACTATCTCAACCCGTTCAACTATGTCGTCTCAGGAATGCTCACATTTGATATGTGGGATGCCAAAGTGACCTGTAACGAGAACGAGTTTGCACTGTTTAACCCTACTAACGGCACCTGCGCTGAATACTTGAAGGACTACATCGCGGGTCAGGGCTGGCGTGTCAATTTGACCAACCCGGATGCTACCTCGACTTGCAGGGTGTGTGAATACCGCCGTGGAAGTGACTTCTTGACCACACTAAATATCAACCACTACTTTTACGGATGGCGGGACGCGGGAATTTCGGTCATCTTTGCAATTAGTGGGTATGCGTTGGTGTTTGCATTGATGAAGCTTCGGACGAAGGCTTCGAAGAAGGCGGAGTAGAGGGAAGCCATGGCACTTTCTGCTTGTTCTTGATGTGGTGGTGATGTGTTGTGTGGCTGACAGCGAGGTAATTGGTACACGAAAGAGAAGTTGGTTGAGTTTTTGAAGTTATTGGGTCAGTACCCTGGCCCAGGGGATTGATTGTACAGTTGTTTGCATATACAGTGTATATATAGATAGATTAGACGGGATAGACTTAAAGATAGAGAGATAGACTGATATAGATATAGAAATAAAAGCATCTTTGCTTTGACAAAGCTATACACAGCAGAGTAGCACTTCCAAATGCAGACAGACACAGAATCACAGCACGCAATGCGATCAAACATCATAACAAATCTTCATCACACATCATCAATATCATCATATAACCAAATCCCAACCCCCAAACCCACATATATACACTTTCACCACACTCCCCTCTGGGATAACATCTACTCCAACCTCACCCTCCCCTCTCTCCACCTCCTCGCCCCCCACTCCACCGCGGCCGGAATGCCAAAAGCCCAATGACACAGCAAGCCCCCCAAGAACCCAACAGCATCATTCTTAAACCCAACCAACAGTCCCACCGTAACCATCATAACCATCCACCTCTTCTTCCTCTCAAAATCACTCAACATAGGCCCCAAATCCTCCCCGGTCAACCCGGCCTGGCCCGCAACCGCCTTCCTTATATCCCTCGCCCCCGTCGTATTCAAGCTCTCGCCCACACTAAGCAACTCCATCCCCGCCGCAATAACCATAACACCCAGCAAAGCCGTCGGAAACCTTTTCAGCAACCCGACCAACGACTCACCGAAGAACACCCCGATCACGAGCTTAAACACACCGAGGAAGATAATACTAGCACCGGAACGCGCTCCGAAGCGGTACTGGGCCGCGAGGCCGCCGGAGCCGTGGCAGACTGGCATGGCGCCGAACCAGCAGCCGAGGAGGTTCATGGCGGAGACGCTGAGGGCGATGGAGGTGACGTTGAGGTGGGAGGAGTTGGTGTGTGTGGGGAGGAGATCATGAGCGAGGTGGACAACGGCAACGATGGAGTTGAGTGTAGTTAGGGGGATTTGACCGATCCCGGCGTCGAAGATGCCGGTGGACCAGTCTGAGGGGGTGGGGAGGACGGTGTAGGGGTGCCAGAGGGCGAGGGAGGGGAGGTCGGAGGCCAGAGTGGAAAGGACGAGGGCAAAGAGCAGGCCGAGGAGGAAGACGAGGAGGGCGTAGGGGACGGTGCGGTAGACGGTGGTGGAGAGGAGGAAGCAGAATGCGGCGAGGGCCCAGAGTCGATTGTCGGCCCAAGAGGGGGAGAGCCAGGAGAGGTTGCTGAGGAGGGAGTTGCAGGAGGCGATGATGAGGGAGAGGCCAGCGCCGACTTGAATTCCTTTGATGATGGGTATGGGGATGGCGTTGGCAAAGCGTGTGAGGAGACCGGTTATGCTGAAGAGGAGGATGAAGGCTGCGACGAAGAGGCCAGCGGCGGCGATGGCGCCGTTGGTGAAGCTGCGGGCGATGGCGACGGCGGCAATGGCTTTCATGGGTTGGACGGGAAGGGGGATGCCAAAGAAGACGCCGGTAAGGATGTTGAAGAGACCGGAGAAGATTAGCGTGCTGGAGAGGGAGACGGTGTTGTTGACCGCTAGGGCGATGGCGATGGGGAGGAATGTGCCCAGGTCACCGAGGGAGCCGGAGATCTCGGAGACATAGTGGTGACGGAAGGTGGAGAGGTTGTGGGCGTTGATTTGGCGGAGGTTCATGATGGTAAACTAGTAGAGGAGGAAGAAAGGATGAGGAGGGGAGAATAGAGAGGAAAGGCGAGAGTTGATGAAGAAAGCAAGGAACGAAGCCGAAGCAAGGCGGAGCAAAACATTCCCCGCATCATCGATGGTCTGATAAGATCAGCCGATCATCCCGCGGAGATGCGACCAATGGCTCCGTTGACTTTTTCCTCTACGTAAGTGATAATAATTATAGCTATAGCTAATATTGATAATAGAACCTGTTCATCTAGGCTTCTATATGGCCTTTACATAAGTAGAAACTATATACAACACAAGCCTGTGGATGTACCCCAGGATCACACCAGATGTTATCTGCGGGATCGCCATCCGAACCAGCCCAGGCGCCAATTAAAGTTATCTTGATCTTCCTATCTTGGCGGCTTTCGGAGAACACAATCCATCCCAATCCGGCAAATCAGACTACTGTCTGTCCCTCTGAGAACATAAGAAGACTTTTCATGATCGCCTTACTCCACTCCCTAGAACTCCGACATGTCACCGCGCTGCGGCGATCACCTGGGATGGCATCACTGGTCCTTCGCGCGGCACCGTGAGCCTCAATATCGAACAGCAGGCGCTGCTACCCGATCTAACGAGGACTGTTATCAACGTTGGCTGATCAGGGCGATGTACCTGTCCGAAACAATCACTTGGTATAGAGGAGCTGCCCAGCCTCCGGGTGCCAGTCATCGCCCTATACAAAATCGATCACCAAACGGATAGCCCGTACGACACTTGCGTACGACAGAGCTGCAACCATGAGAAGCAAGTCGGACAAGGCCCTCGTAAAAAAATACCGAACAAGCTTCGCGCAATCACAGGAACTTTCCACTTGTAAATCTCGACCCAAAGTCTGCCGCCTTATTCATCATCTCCCGTCTCTGCGCATGCGTTATCTTCGACGATAGCGACATATCCTTCTCCTTATCAAACGCCCGAGCACTAGGATCATCCTCCTCCTCTTCTCCATCCTTCTTCTTCTTCCTCTCCGCATCCCTCGCTTTTGCCTCCTCCTTTCTCTTTTCCTCATTATACCGATGGATCTTCTCCTGCATGGCCCGCGAGGGCTGTGCGCCGCGCGCTCCTCCCGCCGAATCCCCCGCATCAGGAGCAGTAGGCCGTGTCTGTACACCCAGCACCTCATCCTGCAACCGCTTCATCTTCTGCTCTGGCGTCTCGGTCCAGGAAACATCTAGCCCGCCGGCACTGGGCGTAGTGTTGGCACCCCGTCCGGTTTGGAACTTCCGATTGCGAAGTTTCGTGGGATCGACGCGGGAGTTGCGGTTCGAGCCGTCGATGGGTTCAAGCATCCAGGCGTCGCGCTGGGGAGCTTTTGGTGCTTCCGAGATGGTTTCGGAGGGCGTGGGTTGTGCTGCACTAGAGTCGGGAACAGAAGAGACGGTGCCTTCTGGCGGAGGGAGGCTGGGTCCAAAGTCATCGTCCGAGTCGTCATCGGAGGAGCTGTTGTCGGAGGTATTGGCATCTGCGCTGGCGGACGGAGGAGGCGGAGCTGGACCGATCACTTTGCGGCGTTTGCTGGAGTCGTCTTCGCTGGTGGGTGGCAGGGAAGGCCCGGCGGCGTATTTGCGCTTTTCGGGTTCCATGTTGTGAGCTGGGAGGACGAGTGGGTGAATCCACTGAGGGGTATTATGGTGTGCAAGACCTGCTCGCTGTTTCGTCTTCGGGGTATCTAGACGCGAATTGTGGTCTGACTGAGCAATGGCAGTGAAGTTGAAGATGGAGGATGACTTGAAGCTTTGCCATGGGAGGGGAGGCAAACCGATCAAACATGCAATCGTAGGGTCACGTGCAACTATCTATAGTCTGCATTGGTATCCTTCATTACATTGGCTTCCATATATATTATTTAGCTGGCCTACATAATCATCAACTCATAATACATCTCAAACTGACCATTAATCTACTTCCTCCAATGTCATCCATATTCCTACAGGCTTGTTCTCTTCTCATCCCAATATGTCCCTTTCAGTCTGCGGGCGCCCATGTACCTCTGTCTCATTAGAAGAATCCCGAGACAATTCTTGCTGCAATGTATACTCGACATACGGTGGGCTGCTCTCTGGGTTGCTCTCCGTATGCGCCACCGCAGTCGACTCACTACCCTGACTGGCAGTCCGCATCGTCACCCATGTCTCTGGCTTGGGTTCGTCCTCCTGCGGTTGCTCTCGTGGCTTGATGATCCCCATCTCCACAAACCGACTCATATCACGATCGTCTTGCTGCGAGCCCCGGCGTCGGTGATGGTCACTCAGCTCTCGAACGAAGGTGCGGCTCTTCTTCCACCAGCTGGGCTTCCGCTGCCCGACACCCACAGCATCGGCAACTGCATGGTCGAATTCGTCTCGCTGCACGATCAAGGCCTTATCTTCATTCAATTCACAGAATCCACAGATGTTGAACAGAATGAGCAAGAGCAGCACCGGTGTGTATCCCAGTCCGTAAAACCATCCAGAATCGACTCCGTATCTCAAGGGGGATATCGTCCAGTCGAAGGCAGAAGCAATAGCGTAGCCGATCTTTATGCCAAGCAACACAATAGCTATAAGGAATTGCGATGGCGCCGCATTCAGGTAGAATAGGAGCTGACCTATGGTACTGGTTGGTCTCGCCCGGTAGCGGTAGATGCTATGCTCCAGGCTGTAGCAGATCACTAAGACGCCAGCTACTGCGACAAATCCGGCAGCACGCCATCGTACGTCTGTAGCCACTGGCTTAGCTTCTTTGAGTTGTTGATCGAGACTGCGTTGCATCTCAATGGCAGTCCAGGAGCGCGGAACGGTCAAGACAAAATTGGCCAAAGCGCATCCGTAGAAGACGAGCGGGAGCACAAACTCCTGCCCTTGCCGGCTGCTGGATACTTGGAATGCGTATGGATCCCGATCGTAGATCTGTCGCTCTTGCCAGGAGCCCCTGCAATTTGTGTCAGTTATGTTTCGCAAGACTGGGTATTCAACTTATCATCACTAACCAGTGCCGCACCGCCTCCCATACCGCAGCCATCATCCCCGGCGTCAACAGCGTGTAGAACACACTCTGCAGAATCAACGGGACGCTCACGATGTACCCCCGATCCACATCGATGCTCATGAAACAGCTAATGGTGCCGCAGGCGGCAGTGAAAAGCATCCAGATCCATTTCGCCCGACGGCCCAGGAGTGTCCACCGGCGATCAGCAGGCAGGTACCGCCGGCTATGCTTGCGCATGTTGATCAAGGTGAAAACAATGGCGAAGACAAACATGAAGGCAAAAGCCAGGCCAGCTGACGCATGTCGACCCATATCCCGAATGGGTGCATAGCAGGAGGTCCCGTTCACGAAAGTCCCATTCTCGTTCATGTGTGGCTGAAATTGATTAAAGGCGAGATAGCAGTCCGTACCATTGGAAAGAGTCCCATTGCTGAAAAGCGTGTAGTGATAGTAATTCAATGCGGTTCGATTGAAATGGACCTCGTTGATGAGCACATCGGTGGCATTCGCCCCGGCTGCAAAGGGGACTGCAGCCCGAACGTACAGCAGAGGCATCGCAAGCCGATTAGTCGTGTCAATTGAGACACTCCGGGATCACCTTGATTGGCTTGAGCTCCTGTCAACGACTTCTGCTGATGCCTTGAAGCCGCGCATGCATCGCGACCGAGCAGCAGCGGAGGGAAAGGGATGAGACAACATCAAAGTAGATTGTAACAGGGGTCATAGCACAGCGAACCAGCAACGGTATCCGGAAGTTGACGGATCGATGACGCTGGCCAGCGATAGCAAGGTTGTATCCAGGGCAAGTCGATGATGCTCGGAACCGCCCGCGAGCCAATGGTAAGCTCGGATGAGAGTCGCGACCCGAAAGATGAACGGTTGGAAAGATAATTAGAGTTGAGTCGTTCGGGAACACGACTGTCAGTCAGGTCATGGCAATAATGTAGTTTTGGTAACAGTGCAGGTGCAGTCGTTCTCCTGATTGAGGGTTATGTTCAGTCGCGTCGCCGGATGCGGTCGAGATAGGGCTTCCGAAACGATGCCAGTTGGCGGCGATCACGAGATGAACGGCAATCGGCTCAGCGGTAAACGGTTTTATCTAATCAGTGAGCAATCAGAGACTTGGCTTATATTCCCCAGGAATAATGGCATTGTCGTGCAAGATCATCTCTGATGTCGATCTTTGGGTCCCTCCATGGCAGCCAGTTCACCAGTGTAACCGCTGATATGCAAGGTATGCAGTGAAGTGCAAGTACATTGCGCCAGGCAGTTACACCGCTAGGTTGAGTTCAAAGTATATCCCACTTCATCAAGCAGACCTGGATGTCGAGCCTATGGGATGATTGCCATTCATTTCATCTCAACCCTGTGATCGCCCTGCAGCTTGCGTCAGGGTGTCGGCTGCTCTATCCGCGGACAATATGATATAGTCGCTACCTCGAACGAACATTGAGCATGAGCCAGTTCGTAAGCCGGTGTGCCCTTATTGGCTGTTAGAGGGGATGGTGCACTGTTATCTGGCAGAAGCTTCAGTTGCAGTCTGTTTTCGGTTGTACTTGGTATTACTTCATCGTACGTCCCACGTTTTAGCTATTATTTGAGGAAGCAGTCGAAAATCTAGCCCACCTCCATTCTGCATTATAAAGAGAATATCGAGAGCCGACGGTCGATCGTGACATTAGTTCATTGAGGATCCAGTAATTCTTCACCCAGCAAGCGCGATGGGGTCCAACTTTGTGGCTAACCATGGTCCGGCTTTAATTCTTCTTTTCTTCGTGCTCTATATCGTTACTGTGAGTTTACTTTTGTTTTTTTTCCTGACAGCTCATGGCTAAACGCGCAAGCGAGTAGAATGTTTACCGAGAGCGAAGGAATCCGTTGTCATCTATACCCGGTCCCTTCCTGTGCAAATGGACGGACATCTTCGTCAGATATCAAACGGCCATAGGGAACCGGCCACGATATGTGCAAATACTACATCGAAAATATGGTAAACGCAGTCCGTTGGACAGAGGCACCCACAAGGCTAACTGCATGGTCTTATGTAGGTTCTGTTGTCCGGGTCGGCCCGAACGCAGTCGACGTTGCTGAGATTGCTAGTGCTCGAGAGATTCATCGCATAGGTAGTGGCTTCCTGAAATCGCCAGTATATGAACTGTTCAAACACGACAATGCAAAAAGTATCTTCACTACTTTGGATCCAAAGTTCCACAGTAAACATCGCAGACTCCTTTCATCGCCCTTCGCAGATGCGAACTTGCATTCACTGGAGCCCTTGATAGAGGGCCGCATCCGCCTCACGATGAAACGCATGCGAGAGGAGATGACCATCCGTGGAGTAGCGGATGTCCAAAAATGGTTCTTCTTTATGGCCAGCGACATTATTGGGGAACTGTCCTTCGGGGACTCGTTCCGAATGTTGGAACAAGGCAAGGTATTATAGCCTATCGCCAGCCGAGCTTCTGGACGTGGATTGATAAGGCACACAGAAAAATCAATACATCAAAGACATAGAGATAGCCGCCATCGTCGGAGAGGCTCGAGCAGCTTTTCCTGAGCTCTCCAGGCTCGCGGCATTCCTGCCGGTCCCTTTCTTCAAGGAGGCTAACAAGAGCCGGAATCGAATAGTGGAATATACTGACGAGTCCATTAATCGGTACAAAAAGCTGCTAGCCGCTAGCCCCGACAATGTCAAGCCTACACTTTTCACGAAACTGTATAATGCTGGCAGAGCAGGATTGCCCGATGCGGAAATCCGCGACGATGCCTCCGACCTCATCATCGCAGGGAGTGACACCACTGCTAACACTTTGACCTATCTCACCTGGGCAGTCTGCAAAAGACCAATCATTCGGCAAGCACTTGTTGCCGAGGTGGCCACACTTCCCGAGCAATTCTCCGATAAGGATGTCCAAAACTTATCCTATCTGAACCAGGTCATTGACGAGACCTTGCGCCTGTATCCCGCTGTCCCTTGTGCTCTCCCTCGCGTTGTACCACCACGGGGGGCAAACTTCGGTGGCCATTGGGTTCCTGGAGGAAGCACTGTAACGACGCAACTCTGGAGCTTGCACCGTGATCCCGTTGCGTTCTCGGAGCCCGAAAAGTAGGTGGACCAAGCATTCGCACTCGGGCTGGCCAAATCCGGGGTGGTTAACAAGTATTGTATAGTTTCGACCCTTCCCGTTGGTCTTCGCCTACCCAGGAGATGAAGGATGCATTCATGCCATTTGGGGCAGGGACACGGAGTAAGTGCGACTGTGGACTTATAGAGCACGTCAGCCAGCAGGTAACCTGACCGCAACAGATTGTCTTGAATTGCACTTGGCTCGGATAGAGCTGCGCTTGGCTACCGCTCATTTCTTCCGACAGTTTCCCAGATCCGAGGTATCATCCCGAGAAGGAATGAGTGATGAGGACATGGAGCAAGTCCTGCATTTCCTGGTATCAACGAAGGGACATCGGTGTCTGCTAGAAGTTCAGTGAGATTTTCGGACGTGCTTTTCCAAACATTCAAGGGTGTTTATCACTCTTGCTCCTTTGTCTTCTTCATTCTAGTCGGATTAGCCGACTCTATAGTAAATCCATTATCTATATTGTCAGCAATCACATCTATGAGCACGGAGCCTGGCATTGGATAGTTCCGCAGCAGCTCTGAAGTCGGTTCAACGTCGGGTGAGGTGATTGATGTCGTACCTTAATGACTAAATTAAGTCACCCCTTTAATATATGGTGCTATTCTCTCGTCTTCTTCACAACAGTTGCCATGCAGAAGTTATTGTGAAACGAAGTTGATC